CAGAGGCAGGTATATATCAGTGTGGAGATAACTAACCTCGTTATCTCCACACTGATATATACCTGCCTCTGGAGATTTCCATTACTTGCATCTGAAGAAGTGAGGTTCTTACCCACGAAAGCTTATGCTCCCAATACTTTTGTTAGTCTCAAAGGTGCCACAGGACCCTCTGTTGCTTTTAACAGAGTTCTAGAAGTTTAAAGAAATGCATATGCACACATTTGTCAGCAGGCATAAACATTTAAGAGCTGTTTTATTTCCTCCCTCCCTCCTTTCTCCCCCTCTTTCTCCCCCCCCCCACCCCCGGAACTTCCTTACCCCACAGGAAAAATGTGGATAGAATTCCTTCCCCTTAGCTACTACGTGTAATTATTATACAAGGAAACGGGGTGTGCTGTAATATCTGGGCTCCATTAGCAGGAATTTAATGCTGACTTAAAACAAAAAGTGTTCATGTGTCTGGAGTGAAGATCATTTTCAATCTTAAAAGTGATTTTTAAAGCCTTACTAAAGTACGAGCTGTAAACACTGTGAAATTAAAATGGCCGTGCTATTTAAACAGAAAGCCCTCTATTATTTTGCTAGAAGTGAAAGGCCTAGTTTTGTAGTCGCACATCCACCTCTCTTGATTTGCATTATTTTCTGCTAGGAAATGGGTCTGTATAAATTTTGCGTGAACTTATTGTTATATAAGCATCAGGGGGTAGCCGTGTTAGTCTGTATCTATAAAAACAACAAGGAGTCTGGTGGCACCTTATGCCCAAATAAATCTGTTAGTCTTTAAGGTGCCACCAGACTCCTTGTTGTTATATAAGCAGAATTTATGGAGTGCGCTCTGCAAAACCAACAGGGAAAGTCAGGCAGCAGGGTTCAGTAGCACAGCTTTGGCATCCACCTTTACTTGTTTATTCAGGTGATCATTTAATATATGTGTTCCTTTTCTGTTCGATCATGTTCTGCTAGGACATGCTTTTGAGGTCTCGAATTGTGTACTTTGAGAAGCAGGATAGTAACACTGGCCTATTAACATGTTGTAATTCAAAAGAGCAACTGGCTGAACCAGTACACGTTGGAACATGATTTACAATGCAGTTTACAAGACTTGTGTTCAGTGAAGTTGCTTAGGCTCTGCAAGTGTTGACTTGTATTTTTTCTTGATTAGTCACACTAATGTGTGAAAAAGGGCTCTTAGCTCTGATTAATACATTTGGCAACAATCCCACTGAATAAAAACCTACCGTGTCCTTCTTCCTGTTCAATTTCTTCCCTTACTAACATCACAATAAAGAATGTTTCCTTAGAGAAATAATGGAAAACCATCACTGAGTTTCAATGAACCGTTCTGTGAACAGCTTGGGTATTTTTTCACAGCCTTTCAAGTTTGCCCATCTAAAAAACACATCTCTTAATAACAAGGGGTTTATAATACTAATATAATAGTATTGGGCTATAATACTCTCCATGCATAACCCAAAACTCAGGCAATTCCAATATTACCTGTCATCACCTCTCATCGCTAGAGCTAGTCCGGAATCTTCCATCAAAATGATTTTTCGATGGACACTGCAGTTTCTACAAAATAAAAATTTTCTGTGGGGCAAATTTCAATTTGATTAGATTTTTCCATTAGGAAAACCAAAACAAAATATTTGTTGAACAGTTTCACATTAAGCTGCATAGCCTTATGGTGCTGGGTTGCATTATGGGAGTTGTAGTTTGGGTGCCTGATGCTTCCATTCTCTCCTATGGGCCAGGCTCCCAGACTGGACTACATCTCCCATGCAATGTAGTCTCCCTTCTGATTGAGCTGCCTGATGCATCATGGGTGTAGTCTGACCGGGGAGCCCACAGGAGAAAAAGGCATCATGTCCCTGAACTAAAACTACCATGAGGCAATGCAGCACCACAGGGAGATGCAGTTTAATGCTGAACTGACTTTAAATGTTTTGTTTCAGGTCAGTCCAACAAACTGAAATGAAACTTTTCAATTTGGAAAAAGAAGAACAGGAGTACTTGTGGCACCTTAGAGACTAACAAATTTATTAGAGCATAAGCTTTCGTGGACTACAGCCCACTTCTTCGGCTGAAACTTTTCAATTTGGGAATATTGAAGTGTTTCATTTTGATGGGAAAATGCCAAAATAAAATGTTTTGCAGTTTCTAAATAGAAATTTTTCAGAACTTTTTATTCCATGAACATTTTCAGTATTTCAATTTTTTCCTCACAGATTTGGGATGAAAACAAATGTAGATGTATCAGGATTTCCAGTTTTTGACCTGCTCTACTCATCACCCTAGCCAAGCTAATGAGCTAGTGCAGTGGTTCCCAAACTTGTTCTGCCGCTTGTGCAGGGAAAGCCCCTGGCGGGCCGGGCCGGGCCGCGTCTGCAGGTTCGGCCGATCGCGGCTCCCAGTGGCTGTGGTTTGCTGCTTCAGGCCAATGGGAGCCGCTAGAAGCGGCGGCCAGTAAGTCCCTTGGCCTGTGCCACTTCCAGCAGCTCCCATTGGCCTGGAGCAGCGAACCGCAGCCACTGGGAGCCACGATCGGCCAAACCTGCGGACACAGCAGGTAAACAAACCGGCCCGGCCCGCCAGGGGCTTTCCCTGCACAAGCGGCATCCCAAGTTTGGGAAACACTGAGCTAGTGAATTGGGTTGAGGATTTGAAGACCACAAGTACAAACTATCCTTAAGTGTTCAGAAGAGGTGGTTCCACTGAAAGGCATACTAGCCACAGAACATCAAAAAAGCGTTATACAGAGTTCTAGCCACACCCTCCCCATTAACCTTAATGATACTCATGCAGCAAAAAAACACTGCAACAGTTTGCAAATATGATTACTACGGAGAGCAATCACTTTGGAAATTTGACCCACATTTCTTCTGAAGAATAGATTGATATCAAGGTTTGCCACCTTTCATACTTCTGGTATCTCAGCATGCTTTACAAAGCAGGGAGTTAGATAATGCTGGGCAATGCAGCAAGTTTTACGTTCTACTGTCAAACAGGTTGAGACACTGGGACTACTTTATGAAAAGAGGGATTGTTGGCCAGGACACCAGAGGTATTTTTTGCTTTAATTTTCACCTGGGCAGTCACATCATTGATGAGACAGGTCCCCAAAATCACGAGATTGGCTTTAAAATCATGGGATTTTTAACAGTGTGGGAACAGGTCTTGATGTAACTTCTCATCTGAAGAACAGCCCATCTAACAATGCAGCACTCTCCGAGGGATGTAGAAGACTATTAGCTCAAGCCCTGATACGGGACTTGAATCTTCTGGCCTAAAAGTAAAGGTGCTGCTAACGGAATGTCTGCAAGTATCAGCTTCTCTATGGGCCAGATAGTTCAGACGGTATGTTTGTAAGTGATGGTGGTGACTCGCAGTATCCTCTCAGCTGGTGATAGCACAGCATGCAGATTTGTCTGCCCTGTAGCTCTGGCCAGCAGTCAGTGAGCTATTGTTCCCCTGGATCCCAGTGGTGACTGAAAGGGAAAAGCTTGGGTTTATTATTGCAGTAACACTGATGACAATGTCCCTCCTCATGACATGTCACCGGGCAGCGTGGATACTCATTTTCCATAGGCAGCTTTCTCCAAATTCACAATCCCTGACAAAACAGTTTTCCCCCGGCCCCAAATTACATTGTCATTGTTCTGCAAAGTAGCTAAAGTAAAACTTAAGCTGGGAATATCTAAAACCCATTTGTTTATCAGATGTCCATTTTCGCTGTACAGGTGTCTGGGGCCCTGTGCATATCTTAAATGCTCTGTGCATATTGATATCAATAGGACTTGTGCACATGCTTAAAGTCTAAGTACTGTCCCGAATTGGGGTGCTTTCCGGAAGTGGGGCCTTCATTTTGTCAGATTTTCCAGTAAGCATTTTTCATGCTTTCTCTCATCCTCCCTCACTCTCCCAGAAGAAGCTCCCTGTGTACATCCCCAGACAAATCTCATGGTGCTCCTTCAAACCCTCCTTTGTCATGATGCCTACAAAAAACTAGGCAGGTAGTATTATACTGTTTGTTATCACCTCATTGTTCGACTCATAAGACTGGAAGGAACCTCAAGAGGTCACCTAGTCCAGGCCCCTGCACTCATGGCAGGACTAAGTCAGTTAGCTTGTGCTTCCACCTGTTGTCTCTCAACTTCTTAGATTGTTAGCTCTTCAGGGCAGTGACCATCTTTTTATTATGAGTTTGTACAGCACCGTGCACAACAGGGACCCGATCCCTGATCATGGCTCCTGTTCCCACCAAACATGTACTTTCTCTCTCTGGCTCATCAAGGTCGTGACTTTTCAGGCAGTGTCTGTTCAGATGCATCTTAAACAAACTCTGATCCTTAAGCACTAATCGGGGCATGCAGCTTTCTGTTTATGACAGGGACCTTGGACTGTTTTGTGATCGTACCGTATAGAAATCTGCTCATAGCACAATAATTAGCTGCCATCATTTTGTCATTAGGTTACCACAGATTTAAGACACGGTTGCACAGAAGGTCATACTGGAACTTCCGTGTCTGCACCCATCGTCACAGGCATCATCGCTTTGGCTTTAGAAGCAAAGTAAGTTAACTCTTGCCTTCCTTGTCGGCCACGTTCTGTATTGAATGTTTATGTAACCAGAGCCAGAGAAGAGATGAGACAGGCTTTATACTAGAGCTGACTGAAATGGGAAAATGATTGAATGATAAATGGCAAAATTGTTTCCATTTTGGTAGGTTTTATGTGGGTCCATTTTCTATTTTGCATGACATTTTCCTGCAATATTTTTAAACAACATTTTTACTGAACTAGTTCTTAGCACAGTTCTTTTTCCGAACCCCTGGCTTTCAGTAAGACAACACAGTTTTCAGTGAATGAAAATTTTTGATAACTATCTCTAAAATGGTTTCCATAAAAATTGTGGTTAAAAATGTTGCAGAAAGTTTCATGTGAAATGGAACATTTCTGTAATGTTGTCAGTTTTTCACAAAACATTTCATTTTCGGGGGGGAGGTAACTTTTCAACCAAAAAAAAAAAAAGTCTTTTAGCGCAAAACATTTTGACTGACTCTACATTTGTACAGGTTTCAGAGTGGTAGCCGTGTTAGTCTGTATCAGCAAAAACAATGAGGCGTCCTCGTGGCACCTTAGAGACTAACAAATTTATTTGGGCATAAGATTTTGTGGGCTAGAACCCACTTCATTAGATGCATGGAGTGGAAAATACAGTAGCAGGTATATATACACAGTACATGAAAAAATGGGAGTTGCCTTGCCAAGTGGAGGGGTCAGTGCTAACGAGACAATTCAATTAAAGTGGAAGTGGGCTATTCTCAACAGTAGAATACGAAGGGAGGAAAAATCACTTTTGAAAAATCTACATTTTTAAAGAGCTATTGGTTCGAAAACTGAAATCTCTCCCCAAACTCAGCCCCTCCTTTCCATTTAAATCTCTTTCGCTCTCCTCCCCACCCCCTCTTGCTCTGTACAGATAAACTTCATGATGGAAGCTGACCATCATAAAACCTAGGTTGTAGCAGACCAGAGGGGGAAAGCGTCATCCTGAGACCCCCTCACTGAGTGTGCCCTGCCACCAACCTTCCTTTTTAGAGCAGGGGGCTGTTGAATACAACAGTTTCTACTGTATCACGTGAGCAGAGAGGAGGGTCTGTGAAATAGCCAAGACTCCGACAGTGAAGGGTGGGTGGATCCAAATAAAGACCTTAAAGTTCAGCAGTGTCCAGTGCAGATCAGAGTAATGTGCTCCCAGTGGGAAATACCATCTAGCAACTGGGGTAGCCTCATTCTGCACTAGCTACACTTCCAGGATGGATGTGAGGCACATTCCTTGGAAAGTGACATTTCACTCTTCATGCAGCTGCTACATACAGGGGCATTGCCAGCCCAATTCTCCGAGTCTGTGCAGTTTAAGGGCCTCATCCTGCTCCCATTGATGCCTGGGGCAAAGCTGTTTCGAGATCAAGCCCAAACAGAATACACTCAAAACTTAGTGTAACACCGACAGACCCCGGTCGTCAGGATTGAACTTGGGACCTTTGGAACTTAGTGCATGAGCCTCTACTGCATGAGCTAAAAGCCACATGGCTGTTAGCTAAAGCTGTAGTAGACTCATTAATCTCTAGGTGGTTTCAGTGCCACTAGCTGGGACAGAGCACCACACCCAGGAGGTGTGTGGGTTACACCAGCATTTTAAAAGGTGTCACTCTCCCTCTAAATGCAGCCGTGGCGTCTAAACATGTCTCAGGTGATTGTTTTGTCTTTCCTATAACAAGCATTTTTGATGTGTTTGGTAGGAAAAAAACAACAACCCAGGCTGCTGGCATCCATGCTGTGATCCCAGCTCCCACAGCCATTAATATATTGTAGACAGCTGGGAGTCCACAGTCCTAGAGACAAATCATTTCTTATGTGGATGTGATGCAGTTCATTGAAGGCACTAAGAAACGCTGGTGTAGCTGACAACTTTGGTCCTCATTCCCCTGCCCCCTCGCTTTAAGATATTTTGGCTCCATTTTAAATTGAGAAACCCATGTCAGATGAAGCCGTTTTAGGAGATGCCATTTTCATTACAAATAAATGAAGAGCGTTCAATGTAATTTTTGAGTGGCTTTGCTGATGAATAAAATGCAGCACTAAGTACCAGAGGATAGCACATAAGAGATGCAAGCACTCAGACGGTCCATCATTACAAGAAAAAATAAATTGAATTTCTTTTGTTAAATGCTGTGGATAGAATTATAAATCAAAGCTCAAGACGCTTACGTAGCATCTGAGAGAAAAAAGCATGAAAAGTGTTCACAAAATAGCTCAGTGATTCTGATAAAGAGTGAGTGAAATTCACCCCAATTCACAGGGTCAGCACAATGCCTAAATACTGTCTGAGTCTCAATTATGGCCTACTTTGATTGTTACCCTAAATGAGAAGCTCGGTTTATTTCCCACGGGACGTGTTATTTACAGGAATGTAGAGTTTGCCATAGCAACTCAGACTATTGGCCCTTCTGGTCAAGTAAACTGCTTCGAGCAGTGACCAATGCTTGTCATTTTGGAGGAAGATGGGGGAAACCACACCCAAAATGTACACTGTTCTGCACTGCAGAATTCCTTCCTGACCTCCATGTGGCAATCAGTTTATGTTCTGAAGCATGAGATTTCAGTACATTTAGCCTGGAATGAATCACTGCAAATGTTGTTGCCCATCAGATTACCCATTCCATCCAGCTCCAGTATTTAGCTTTGCTTATCCTGATCCCATTGCAGCTTTGCTAGAACTTTGATAACTTTCAGTAACCATTCCAGTCTAGAGGGGGGAAACAGCAAAAATTCCTTTAAATCTCTACACATAATGTTAATATTTAAATAACCAATTTGCACTGTATTTTAATTTAAATTGGAGGAAAACCCTCTTACATCTCTCATTGAATGATGCTATCTTTTCCTTTACCGGGAGAGGTGAGATGTACCTGCTGCATTCTCCTCTCTGCAGCCATGGGTTTGCACTACAGAACAGTCAAATCTGAATGTAGCTGATAATGTTCAGCTGATTGAAAGTTACTACATTGGCACACCAAAGGCTTCCCTGTAATTTTTGTTTTTTTTTACATCATTATTATTTTAGCCCCTCACTGACCTGGAGAGATGTTCAGCATCTGATTGTTAAAACATCCAGGCCACTACATCTGAAAGCAAATGACTGGAAAACAAATGGAGCAGGACGCAAAGGTGAGGCAGACAGTGTGTATGGACTGGATTGAGCATCTTTTGCCGCAAATGATACTCCCGGGGGACCTCTGCCCCACTGCACAAAGCAGAATTTGCACAGATTTAATGTTCTGTGCAGAATTTCCTTTTCCCCCGCAGAATTGGCGCTGCAGAGCTGTTGTCTGCCACTAGCGGCTGCTGGACCCAGCAGAGCCCAACTCCCCAGCTTGCAAATAGAAGACACTGCTGGGGGGAGAGGGGTCAGAGCTGGAGGGTTCCCAGCAGCTCCAGTTCCTGGCACACCCATGAATGAAGCTGTGAAATCACATAGCTGGGCTTGGGGGAAAGAGGTTGCTGGTGTCTGGGCTGATGGGTGCCCCATGGCTGGGCTCTGGGGACAGAGGGTGTGGGTGTCTGGCCCCGTGGCTGGGCTCTGGGAGGGAGGAGGCACAGAACCAGGAACTGAGTTGTCGTAAGGGTTTCTTTAACTCTCTACTCCTAGGGGAATCTTTTTTTGTTGTCTGTATTGTTACAGACATAGTTGCTGACAGGTATTTTGAAATAAATTACCAAAATAATTGAAACTGGTGTGATTATATAGCGTTATTTTGACAAATAACATTTGCAGAATTTTAAAATATTGCGTGCAGAATTTTGAATTTTTTGGCACAGAATTCCTCCCAGGAGTAAAATGGATATAGAGAAAGCAGTGCAGAACTCTATGTATGGAGAATAAGGTGGCTAGCAGTGTCATTTATGTCACTGTCAGTGCACTCGCAGTAGAGATCCTTTGGGAGAGTTGTTGGCACTTTACCCTTTGAGGCTTTGTGGGGCACAGCTTTATCAAATGGAAAATCAGTTTGGGTATGTGTGACACACACTAACAAGAACATAGTGACCTCAGAAACACTGTATATGTGTAGAGTACACACGGAGAGGAGTTGCCGTTCTCCTCTGCCCTCAAAACATTGGTGTCATTCCAGTTAATGCCGATGGGAGTCTAAAGCACACGAGGAAGGATTTGGGGCTGTTTCTGAAATAGGCACGTCAACTAATGATGGAAAATGGATCGAGCACAGTTACACTCCTCTGAGTTTCATTACTCACTCAGGATAATGGCTGTAGCATAATCCTGGCTTCATAACACTGGCATAGTGTGATTAACTGTAGCCACCTCTGAGGCTAGGTCTACACTACGGGGGGGAGAAGGGTCGACCTTAGATACGCAACTTCAGCTACGTGAATAGCGTAGCTGAAGTTGCGTATTTTAGGTTGACTTACCTGGCTGTGAGGACGGCGGCGAGTCAACCGCTGCCGCTCCGCTGTCGACTCCGCTTCCGCCTCTTGCCGCGGTGGATTTCCAGAGTCAACGGCAGAGCGATCAGGGATCGATTTTATTGCGTCTTCACTAGACGCCATAAGTCGATCCCCAATAGATCGATTGCTACCCGCCGATCCGGCAGGTAGTGAAGACGTGCCCTAAGAGGGAGGATTAGAGTTGAATCCAATCTACATTCTGTCCAACTTCAACAACAACTTTTTCTTAAAACTCTGCAGTGTAGGAGACGAGTGGAATTGTTATTGAACCTGGCCCAAAGAAATATAGTGGGAAGTCTGCTTATTAACCTCTCAGTAGCATGGCTCGTAGATACGGTACATATAGTGGGACAGTTCTTTGTGCTGCTAATGCTTGTCTTCGTTGCCACTTCACTTCATGCTGAGATTCTTTATGTATGAAAGGATTTTTGGAGCCTTCTTTGAGTGTAATCTCCTGAGGGTTTGTTCAACACCTTTCACCGCAGGCCCTGATTCTGGCTGGCACCTCTGAGAGCTTCCACAGTCTAAATAAATAATAATAGTTGGAACCCACTGAAGTGCACTGAGCATCTCATACTTAGCGTTAGCAAAAGCAGTAAAAGTTTCTTGCAATGAAAACCTGCAGATTCACTTTGCTGGGCTTTATGGTACCTTTGCAAATGTTTGAATACAGAAGTTTTTATTTACAAGAATGTTCCCATAACAAATAGACATCACAAGTGCCACTACAGATCAATATTCCCAAGAGTGTTTGCATTGGAAGGGCTCCCTCTGCCGTTTTAAGCAGCTGTCTTTATTGTTCTCACCACTGGTTGGCCAGACAATTGTCAATGGTAGTGGATAATTTGCGGTTTGATAATCTTTGCAAAAGCTTGTTTATCAATGGATATTCCGGGGCTGTGCCACTCGAGCATCTGCTGGCTTTTGTATTTAACAGTGGCTGGTGTGTGCCGAGGGATGTGAAAATACAGAGTTTGGAGAATAGCTCTCAGTAAAACAATCATGCTAACTCAGTCCAAAAAGCTTCAGCTTTTGCCTGATCAGATAGGGCGTCACAGCTGAAAACAAAGATTAAAAGAAAACTCTGCCTAGGCCCTTATTAAATGTTGTGCTGTAGAACCACTGAAGAAAGACCATTTGGAAGGATGGTTGAGCGGGTCAGGTATCTGACTGCATTTGAGTCATGGATCTGCCACAGCTTAGGTGTGTAACTTGCAGCAGGTCACTTAATTGCCTTGTGCCTGGGGTTATTAGCATTTCCCTACCTCACAGGGGTGTTGTGGGGATAGATACAGACATTCATTAATGTTTGTGAGATACCCAGCCACCACAGTGACGGGTACTTTATAAATACCTGGATAGATTTTGTAGTGACCACAACCACTAGCTACATCTGTCACCTCTGGTTGAACAAGATCATGGGAAAGCCTGTAGTACCAGTCCCCCAGTGCCCACATTGAAATAGACAGCAGACGGCTTCCTCCTGTATCTTTTGAGCTGGGTAGACAGTGAGGAGTACCACAGGAAGTTTGACAGAGTCTTCCAGGTTGGTGGTGGGATTCTAATGAGAAGAGTTTCCCTAAGCCCGGAGAGCCTGTGCCACAGGAAAAGGTGAAATTTGGATCATTTTTTGCATATTTAGTATTTTTTTCCCCTCTGAGAAATCAAGCGCCAAAGTTAAACATTTTCCCCCCATAAGTGACTTTTAAACGCTGTTGATATCTTTAAGCAAGTAGATTTCTGAGTCTTCTGTCTTTTCAGTTAGCCATCTATATGGATATGGTCTGGTTAATGCAGAAGCTATTGTAATGGAAGCTAAGAAATGGAAAAAAGCACCCACCCAGCACGTCTGCATTGGAAGCTCAGATAGGACACCCAGGTGAGTGTTAACTTGTATATGTTCCCCAGCACCAGGACTATGTGATGGCATAAATATTCTAGCTTGGGGAGACAATGTGTAACCTCCATCATAAATAATCACTTTCTGTTACAGTTACTCATACTTACCTGTTAATGTGCTCTGCTATCAAGCACCATGCATTGAGGTACATTAGACTGTGTGGCAGGATCACATCCCTGCTGGCTGGATCTCACACGCATTGTGTGGGCAAGGTCACACCGCCCGCGGAAGCCATTTTGAAGAGTGTGCTGCTTCATGCCCCTTGCGCACACGCTGTCCAATACCGGACAACACCATGTCTGATTTTGTCTCTGTGCCGGAGAGGGGACAACCCTTAGAAAAGCAGACCCGTCCAGCTTAAAACTGGACGAATGGCCTGCCTAGTGCGTGTGTGTATGTGTGTAGAGGGGTGAGTAACTACACTCTTGGAGTTGGGTTTGAACTCTGTTTTGATGTGGGTGAGCGTCCCCTGCTCTCTGCATGGTGTTTGAAGTATTCATGGTGGCCGACTCTCATAGATTTATCATGAGTCTTGTGATAATTGGTGTTTTTCTGAAAACCCCAGCTTCTGGAGTCATGTGAAGGCACAAGAACTTCAGGGATTTTGTTTGCTTTTGTTTCTTTGTTTTAAGAGTAAGTTTCTAGCCCTCATGGTTGCAAAGAGAAGCTTGGAAATGCGGAGCAAGTGCTTTAATCTCATGATTTTTAAACCAGTCGCATGATTTTGGAAGGCCTGCCTCTGATTTTTGAACAAATAACGCACACTGGGTTCTTTTGATTTCAGAACCTGTAGGGATTACGTTTTCAAGCTTTTCTCTGCAGCCACAAGGACTAGATGTGTATTTTCCTTTTTAAACGGAAGCTGCGATTCTCACTCTGTTCAGAAGACAATGACTTTCTGCTTTACTCTGCCATTTACTTTTCTAAACAGTGTTGCCCACTCTGGCAGTCTTCTGGCGAGCCTGGAGGTATTCAGTGCTTTTTCTGAACACCGTAGATGCCCCTACGCTAGGACCCAAGCCAGCCAGCATTTCTTACCAGGCTTACAAAGGGGAGCAAATGCTACTCCTGGGCATGTTTGCAGGGTCAGGCCCTTAAGGATGGCCTGTGGATAGGGAAGTGAGGAAGTTGCTGACCTCAAGGGAAGAAGGAGAGGCAAGGAGGTCTGTGGCTGGGACAGCGGTCACCTGAGCCTGGCGATTTGGTCCAGTTGTGCAAAAAATAAGGGTACTCCCTGATTTAGAAAATGAAGCCAGGTTTGTGTTGGAGAACAAAGATCCCACGAATTCCAGTGGCCTTGTCTCTTTTCTGATTTGCAGCAAAGAAGCAGGGATTTGAAGCACTGTCAGAAATGCTGTAGCAAGGGGAGAGGGTCTTTTTTTGTTACTTAAATCCCCATAACTTGTTAGTAGAAGCTTTGGCAGCAATTCATCCTAGTGCGGCTACAGACGCAGCGTATAGGCTGATGGCAAGACGCAGGAGATAAGATACACTAGATACAGGCCAGTTCTGAGCCTGGTTTATTGTGCAAATGTCTGATGATACTTTGATTTGAATTTGTTTGAAATGATGCTGTTAATGAGACCATCCTCCAGCAGCTTGACTCAAATTCCTCTCTTCCAAACAGAAGCCCCGCAGTTGATGCATGCAAACGGTCTGTTTTGCAGAGAGTTTTTATTCCCTTGTGCCTCAGTTATGATTTGCCACGTCTCCCGATCCCAGGGAGAAACCGCTGTGAAGGGTTATCCCAGATGGAGTGGCCTCTGACGTACCAGGGATCTTTCATTAGGGTAGCTGGACACAAGGGGAATGATTCTGGAACAATACACATTGCAGGCAATGTCCTGAAATGAAGGACCATCCGGAAAACCTTCAAATTCCTCTGTATTAAAACTGGGAACAACTGCTGTCTTGATCATACCGGAAAGCCTGTCTTCTGTGCTAAGACGGGGATACCAAGAACTGGGCCTCATTTAGAGCAGCACTTCTCATATGACATGTGCTGGCCATCTGCGCAAGTCTTGTGACTCCTGTATTGAATCCAATAACTTGTGTTAGACTCAGGCATATGTTCCAGAAGGCATCTGGGCTGGCTTTCCTGGTGTCCACTAATTCAGAGTTTGCTGCAAACAGTGGAAAGACTTCAAAGCTAAAGGCAGGCTAGTTCTGTGCTCTACAGTCTTCAAGGCCAGTTCATGGCTACGCAGGTGCAATTACGGGTCTTTTGTAGACCTTCCCCTCCCGTCCCCCTTTCTTTAGGCCTGATCCAAAGTCTGTTGAAATCAATAGAAAGAATTCCATTCAATGGGGTTTGGATCAGGCCCTTTATGAAGAAATTATTTCTTCTCTTCTCTGGTGCAGGAGATCTCTGTCAGCCCAGGCATTAAAGTTTCAGCCTAAATGGAAACAGGCATATCAGTGTGTTTCCCATTGTGGGAACTGATGACGACCATGGGCAGAATAATCTGTCGGACCAGATTAGTCGATCTGGCTCGTAAAGAATCAAAATTCCTGGTAATACACACCCTCATTTCCAGCACAAGTGATTTGCTAATCAAAAGAGCATTATTTTTTTGGAGCAAATAGAGACTGCAAAGCAGTTCTGAATTTGTAGCCAAAGAAGTTCATAAAACAATTTCTGATACAGACCCTCATTTCAATCCAAGGAGGAATGTGGCCCCAATAATAATAATACTAATTAATAATGAATAAAAAGTTTGTGACTCATAAGTCAGAGATCTTTGAGGACAGTTCAAAACAATCTGGTTACCACTGAGTACTTCAGCAGGCTGGTGTTATGGGTAGGCCAATGTATTGTGATGCAGATAGCATCGATTTGTTACTGTTTGTTGTGAAATAATAGGAAGCAATGAGTAAACAGAACAAAAGAAGTTGAACTGGGGAAACGCCAATTGAGGTTGGCGAGTGAAGGAAGTGCTCCCAGATTCTTGTTTCATTAAGCAGCCCCTCTGGCTCCTTGTTTAGCATGAGTATGTGGAAAGAGATGGAAAAATAAGATAAAGCTACAAAGAGTGATTCCCTGCTGTATTACTTCAGTTTCACTCAGGTGCAACTCCAGTGAGTTCAGTAAAGTATCACTGGTGTAAATACTGTAGTGACCTGCTGAGGAACCAGGTCCTGTGTCTTAATAGCTGGTGGGAGGCTTGTACGTGTTACCTACCTGAAGTCAGGTGTAACTGAATTCAGATTCTGTAGCCCAGTCCCTGAGGTTTAAACACAGCATTCCTCTTGCTGGTGATGTCCCCAAAAGACCTGGCTTGCTAGAGCCTCAGGCCATTTTCGTGCTGCATTAAGTAATTTGTGAAGTCTGTCTGGAAGGAGTAAGCTGTTTTGGCCTCCTGGTGGCGTCCAGTGTTTCTGATTACTAACTCCAATAAACTTTTTCTGAACCCTGAAGATGACTGGAAATTAGTCTGGCTAGATGCTTTTTTTTCCGATCTTGCATAGAAACAGTTTATAGCGAGTCAGGTACAACATAATGTGGAACTGCAGTGGGCTGCACATCGTTCCAAAACTTTTCCCCAGATGCTGCTGTGGTGGGTTCTGTTTCACGTGGGTGTTGTAGAACTGAACTGATAAGTGTCAGACACCTACACAGCAACAGATTTCATGTATCATCTGTCTGCCGTCAAATTCCGTTTTGAGCTGGATGCAAAGCCAGCTTGAGGGCTCTGGCATGATGGGTGATGTAAGGAGTGACTGGAGAAAAGCTGGGATGTTCTGAATAGCCAGCCCAGGCCCCTTGGCTTAACTCTTGTCTTATACTTAGATGGGAAACTCTTTGGGACAGGGACCGTCCTTTTGTTCTGTGTTTGGACAGCACCTAGCACTGGTGCTGGTCCATGACTAGGCGCTACAGTAATACAACTAATATATAATAACCATGGCTCTACATAGAGCCTCTCAGTGTAAAATACCATGTTAAAATGTCCATGTTACTGTCACTTTGGACCAGAAGAACTAGCTGACAAAGCCACTAAACCAGCCAAGACTATGAATTTTTGAAGCAAGTCATGAAGAGAGAGGAGCATCTTCACCTTTGCTGCATGCAAACAATGTTTTCAAATACTTACAAACCCTCCCAGGGAATTACATCACTGTTTATAATGATTTAGATTATTTTTTTATGACTAAGGCAAAATAAAGTCAGGCTATGTAATCCCTGCGAGAATCCGGAGCATATGCTTGGCAGGATCCCCAGAGGAAACTTGGGGAATAATAGAAAAACTGCTCCCTCCAATAAATTATACATTAATAACATGGCTGAGAAGTTCACTGGGAACTAATCCTTTGATGGGTGGCGATTGTTTGTGTAGTTAAGAATGTGGTCGCTTAAATTTGAAAATCTCAGTTGTAAAGGATCCAGCAACTGATATGAGCAAACATTGAGTCCCGCCGGGCTAGGTTGGGAAAGCAGGGTTTTAAGAGCAGTTGTGGGACTGCTGTTCTTGTGTGATCAGCACCGCTAGGGCATGTGTTATGGAATGAGCCAGTGCTGTAGATTCCACTCAGTGTTCTACAGAGTAGCCAGAAAAGTTTGATCAAAGGAAGGAACACAGCGGAGTACTTTAAAGATTGTTCCATAATCTCCCAGCCCTGTGGGGGGCGGGGGGAGTCAAATTCTGCTCCCTTTGTGTCTGGGTGCAGGAGACCCTGCCACAGTGTGACTCATTCACTTCTGCTGTCTGGGAGGCAGGATCTGGGGAGCCTCTGCAGGGGCCACAAACCCTTTTTGCACTGCAGAGCCCACTTCTTTGGGGATCCCCGTGTGCTGCTGGCAGAGGTGGAATTGGTGGTTCCATCCACCTGCTATTCGCTCCTGGAGTTGACCTTGGGAGACTCCTCCAGCACTGACACAATGGCTGTTCGCAGGGCTGTCAATTACTTTTGTCCCCTAGACCTCCTCAGAGCCCAGCCTGTGGGAGCACCCCTTGGAGAAGACGCGTCAGCGAGAACTGGTCTCGTAAAATGCAGCAGGGCCAAATCAATTACACCCAGCAGCTTCCATCTGTGTGGCCGTTGTCCTATTCGCTATGTAGCATATGTAGCACGTTGCTCTCCTTTCCATTGCAAACTGTCCTTGCTTCTCCCCTAGGGACATCCATGCCGACCAGACGGTGCGCACAACCACCGTGACCAACGCCTGCGCCAACCACTACGACCAGCGCGTGGTGTACCTGGAGCACGTCATAGTGCGAGTCAGCATTGAGCACCCTCGGCGTGGAGACTTGCAGATTAACTTAACTTCTCCTTCAGGGACAGAGTCTCAGCTCTTGGCAAGAAGGTTAGAACGGCTGAATCTATCTGGCCATGCAGTTGCAGCAGCAAGCGCAGGGCCAGGTTAGCCTGGGACTGGCTACCTTCATGTTGTGCACTGTTATTTTAAAAAAAGGGGCGACTTTTCCCCTCTTATAATGGACCACAAATTGAATATAAGCCCAAAACGCGATGCAGTAGCGAAAAAGGCTATTATCATTCTGGGTGCATTAACAGGAGCGTCAAGACATGGAAAGTAATTGTCCCTACTCGGTACTGGTGAGGCCTCATCTGGAGTGCTGTGTCAGGTTCTCAGCCCCACACTTTAGGAATGATGTAGACAAAGGGAAGAGAGTCCACAAAAGAGCAACAAAAATTATAACAGATTTCGAAAACCTGACCCATGAGGAAAGGTTAAAAAAAAAACTGGACGTGTTTAGCCTTGAGAAAAGAAGACTGAAGGGGAACCTGAGAAGTCTTCAGATATGTTAAAGGCTATTATAAAGGGATGGTGATCAACTGTTTTCTATGTCTGCTGAAGGCAGGACAAGAAGTCATGGATTTATCTACAGTAAGGGATATTAGGAAAAACTTTCTAACTATCAGGGTAGTTAAGCTCCGGAATTGTCTTTCAAGGGATTTTGTGGAATCCCCATCATTGGAGGTTTTTAAGGACAGGGATGGTCTAAGTTTACTTGGTCCTGCCTTACTGCAGGGGGCTGGACTTGAGGACTTCTTGAGGTCCCTTCCAGCCCTACGTTTCTATGATTCTATTAAATGTTTCAACATTTCCCATATTTTTTTCCCCAAAACCATTTGCCAAATTTGACCCAAATTCACAAAACTGAAAATGCATTTTTTGGCGAACTTACTATTCACCAAAAGAAATGTTCCAGTTCTAGCATGAAACTCTTTAATGTATGAAAAAAGAAAAAGAAAAACCCCATAGTTTTGATTCCTAATGGCTCTTCTTTGCAAGCTATAAACTACTTCACAGAACTTTACTTTACAAGATAGTGGCTGTTCCAGAAATCTCGCAGGTGGGGATGAAGGTGAAGTGGAGAAATTGGTGGTAGTTCTATTCCTAAACTGAGTAGTAGTTTTGGCCTTCCAAATTCTGGTCTCCCTGCTGTAAGTGTGGAGGAACTTCATCATCTTGAGAACTTCGGAGTGTCTGTAGATGTTAGAAGAATCCCAGACTGCCTATTGATTCCTTCATTATAAAAGCTGCTTTCCTAGTCCATTGTAGTATCCCCTGTCCCCTCTTCCCTGGAACCTATAGTTCAATTTACAGTTGGAATATGTTACTGGAGGATTTACAGCTGAGAGGTGAGCTGACTCTAATCAGGAGCGATGGCTTCACACAATTGGCAGTGTCTCCCCACTTCTAAGCAATGATTAAATAGCAGAGAACTGTGGTTACTAGATTCCATTGCATGTCCATGTGATGGAGTAGTCTCCTAAATAATTAAATTGAAGCTACACCTGTGCAGCAAGCAAGATACATTTTGTTATGCAGGCCCCTTGGGTGTTGTTTTTGTCAACTATGTTTTGCATAATCAGCTGGGCAAGGCTGAGAAAGGGAACGTGCATAGGTGTATTTTGCTTCCCCTCCAGTTCTGTGGCAGATTGTCTACCGTCTGGAGTCTCTGCTGTAGGTTAGAGCTATGGACCACACTCCCTTTCCCTGGGAACACCCTTGGTGGGAGATAGGAGATTACTAGGGACTTACCAGGGCTGAAGGTCTGGTGTGATGAATACTTGGTCTTCAAGTGTTTGGTAAATACACTATTAACTTGATTCCAATGTGATGCCCTGGTCACACACACGCCGAGTAAGCTGCTGCATTGAAACCCAGCTGTGTGCAATGCTGTCTGTATAGAGCACTCTGCACCACGTCTGCAGAATGGTTATTAATGAAGTTCCAACAGTGTGCTTGGGAATGACGTCACTGGGGCTCCATGTGTGCATGTGGGGTGTGTCCTCATGGCTCTTGGTGCAAGATCAGGGCATATATAGTATATAGAAGCTGCTTAATCATGTCCGGTACTCAAGGCCTTGGTGTAAATACCCTGAATCGGAACCGGACCCAGTGGTGGATGTTTAATTATTACCAAAAAGATCAATGTTCCAAACCGTGGTTCTTAATTTCTCTCTGTAACCAGGTGCTATTTTACCAGCAGAGTCCCTGGGTAGATTATGTTTACAATGCTGTGCCCTTCGGTGTTAATTTTTATTGTAAGCCATGTACGAGCATGAAATTAGAACTATGGTTCTCAAGCTGTTGGCTGGTCACTTAGCGTTGGCTCTCCTGTTTGATTCTAGCTGCTCAATCGCATTAAAAGATAGCAAAAAATATGTGAAATACTTTCCTAATGTTACTTCTCCATGGCAGCCAGTGCTGCAGTTGCCACAGGGATGTTACATGGGTCCTGATGGGAGGGGAGGTGGTCTGTGCCATCACCAATGGGATGGGTGTTGCACACAAGACAATCTCGCTGTTAAGATGCAGCCATTCTATTGAAGCAGTTCGAGCGTAGCACTGTCGGTGCACTCTGCAGTTTGCTCCCTGGTAGTCTGCACTGCGGTGACAAGCCATTAGGGTGCATATCTCTTAGCACCTCGCAGTGCACCCTGTTTAATTGTCTTGAGTAATGCATTGACGCTACTCTTCAATTGCAGAGTGTTTGATATCTCCAACGAAGGATTTAAAAACTGGGAATTCATGACTGTCCACTGCTGGGGGGAGAAGGCAGAAGGGGAATGGACTCTGAAGATCCATGACACGTCATCCCACATGCGCAACCCAGAGAGGCGAGGTGAGCACACACTGTTGTCTTTCTGGATTGTCACCAGTAGCATCTGAGCTACTGATTTGGTGTGATGCTTAGAGTGCCGTTATCATGCTCATTCACTGACCGTGTCGTACGTGATGCAAATGTTTGTGCTTACCTGGAACACCTAGAGTTATGCTTTCAGCTGTTGGGTATAACTTTGCCATGATTCTTAAGGAAAATGTTGCAATACAAAGGATGTTATTGAGCATAGTTTCAAATGTAGGTGCATAAAATTAGGTAGCTGCATCTATACCTAAACCTGATGATCAATTGTGCTCATCCACCAAGGGTAGGACAAGAAGTAATCGCCTTAATTTGCAGCAAGGAACAATTAAGTTAGATATTGGGCAACATTTTCTAACTATCAGGATAGTTAAGCACTGGAACAAGTTATCTTGGGAGGTTGCAGAATCCCCGTCACTGGAGGCTTTTAAGAACAGGTTAGACAAATACCTGTCAGGGATGGTCTAGGTTTACTTGGTCCTGCCACAGCATAGGGGCTGGACTAGATGTCCTTTCGAGGTCTCGTAGGACTTGATGTGATGACATCTGATGTAATGCAAACATGTCTATCAAAGGATAATCTAAGAATTAATTGTAAAATTAGCATTACTGTGAAACTGAATTTGCTGACCCCAAGAACAAAGGTTACAAAATCAGAATATAATGGTTCAAAACAAAGAAATGTAAAAGCCGTCATTTAATGTCCGGTGTTCTGGGAATGTGGGAATGGCCAGCTACCTCCCTCCAAGGTAGTGCACAGCATTAGCAATTGGAGCAACAAATGCAGTTCCCGAGTGTGCAAACCTAGTGAGATTGCTTCCCTGAGATCTGAATCGACGCAGACCATGAACAGCCACCAGGCTATAGTCAAGGGACTTCTGTGGCATCAAATAATGATGACATGAAGTGTGTAATAAATACAGAATTGGAGGAGGGGAATGGAGGCTTAAATTGGGTTGTTGTTTTTTTTTTAAACAATTTAGTAATTAATTTGTACAGCCAAGTTAATTTTGACCTAATTGGAGAATAATATTTCAGCAGCTGTGCTGTTATTAAGCAGCGATTAATTATTAGTAAGGCTGCGATTCTTTCACGGAGGTTGCGGAAGTCACGGATTCCATGACTTTCTGCGACCTCTGTGACTTCCGCAGCAGCTGGTGTGGCTGACTTCAGGGCAGGGCCAGCTCCAGCATTTCTGCCGCCCCAAGCAAAAAAAAACAAAACAAAAACCGCGATCGGCGGCAGCAGTTCAGCGGCAGATCCTTCGCTCCTAGAGGGAGTGAGGGACCTGCCGCCCCCGAATTGCCGCAGGTGCCGCCCTTCTCCTTGGCCGCCCAAGCAGCTGGTCTTGGGGACTGCGCAAGCAGCGGCTGGTCCCAGGGACCGCCCCAAGCAGCGGTCTTCGGGGTGCCCCTGGGGAACGTCTGAGCAGCGGTCCTGGGGGTGCCCTGGGGACTGCCCAAGCAGCAGTGGTCCTGGGGTGGCTAGAGCAGCAGTCTGAGGCACCCGGAGGCCATCCGGAGAGCATTCCCTAGGAATAGTGGCCGGGGGGGTCAACCCCCAGCACTGGAGCCAGGGTCCCCCTCCAGCAGGGACCCCCGGAGCAGCAGGGGCCCAGAAGTAGAGATTTGCTCAGGGGTATTTTTGGTAAAAATCATGGACAGGTCACGGGCATGAATTTTTATTTATTGCCCGTGCCCTGTCCATGACTTTTACCAAAAATACCCATGACTAAATCTTAGCCTCAATTAGGGCACTGCGTTACACGGGATTTTAAAATATTTGTTCAATGAATAAAAATAAACATATTAAATCGGACCATTGCAAGAAACTGAAAAGTGTTGAAACATACAAAATATATCAGCAAAAGGAAGATATTTTCAACAAGCTTCAGATGCCTCCCCCCAACTGGCATTAGCAGAAAAAGCAAATAAAATATCCATCAGATTAGAGCCCCGGTATAAGCAGCAGTAATAGGGGAAGGATGTCCTAGTGTTAGGGCAATAGCTGGGGAGTTGAGAGACCTGTGTTCAATTACCTCCTGCACCTTAGGTAAGTCACTTAGTCTCTCTGTGCCTCAGTTCCCCATCTGTAAAATGGGCATAATAATACTTCCCTAAGGTGTTGAGGTACTGTGTGAAGGGAGCGATAACTGATGGGGAGAACCATAGATAGATTTTAAATGGCCGTGAGTCTTTTAGGGGCAGGTTTGCAAGTATAACAACTGTGGCTAGAATTTGCAGAGAGGTTCAGCACCCACATTCGGGGCCAGAATTTCAAGGGCGTTCAGCTCCAGTTTAGATACTAAAGCCAGTGGCCTGATTTTCAGCTGGCTTGTTAGGTGCCGAGCTGTTCTGAAACTGCGGCAATGGAACTGAGAGGTCAAGTCCCGCAGTTCTAGGGTTACCATACGTCGGGATTTTCCCGGACATGTCCGGATTTTTGGTCCTCAAACCCCCGTCCAGGGGGAATTGCCAAAAAGCCGAACATGTCCGGGAAAATACTCCCAGCTTTGTTTTGCCGGCATCCCTGCCCCAGTCCCCTGCTTACCTTAGAGCGGCTCCGGCAGGCTGCGAGCTGCAGGTGGATTCCCCCGCCATGGGGGAATCCGCCTGCAGCTCCCCCCAGACACCTCAGCTCTGTGCAGCTGAAGAGTGGAGCTGCCCGAGCACTACCGGCTTCACGGTTTGCCGGGCAGCCCCCAGACCTCCAGCCCCTGCGCCCCCGGCCGGGCGCTTCCCCTCCCCAGCCGGAGCCC